GCTGTGTGTCAGAGGGCACTGCCTTATCGTGTATGGCAAAGACTGCACAGTCTGCAGGGGGGTGCCAAAGTTGACATTAACTCAGAGTTTTCCACAGGAGCTTTAAGTTATTTTAATAAAAGTGTACAAAAATCAAGTAATTCATAAAGTTTTAGTTTTAGTTCCCAAACTGAGAAATGGGGGCATCTCGTTAAGCTGCCGTTAGTGCTTTGGCACATCAGTCCACATAGATATAAGTATCCGGACTCTGAAAGGACGATTTAAAAAACTGGTATCCCTTCCCCAAAACAGCATTATGCAGCTAATCTTGACCAAATTAACAACTTAATTTTTGTAACACTATGGCTTTCAACTTTAGTCTGGTAAGATTATGACTTAGATATCAAGGTACAAGATCTAACCACACCTGGACTAAACACCTGAAATGACCGACCCAAATTAAACTCCTGTGTGAGCGGCCTGTCTGCTGAGTGCGTCATTGAGCGAACAATCAGGAATCCCCCCTGCTGTACTTGAAGTTGAAATTCAATGTCTAATCGGCTCTTCCTTCCTCCCTGCCCCCCCTGATAGGATTGGGTTTCTGGTCTGAGAGCTGTCCTTGTGCGGACTTGTTCTTATCAGACCTCTTGTTATGTTTATGTACAAACAGCACATTCCTGAGAGAAGGACGGGCGAGCAGAACAGGATCTGAGCTTGGCTCTGCAGCTGGAAGGTCAGGAGGAGATGGAGGGAGGGTGGAGAGAAAAAGAAAACACAAAGAGACAGAAAATTATCAGAGGACTTATAATGCTGCAAACAAGATCTGGACGGATCGAAGGGGGAGGAGGACAGGGAGTAACAGACAGGGTGGATAAGCGATACATCGCCATGGGAAGACAGAAAAGGGAGTCAAGAAAAATTTTATCTGTTGAAGAAAAAAGTAAAAGATTGAGAAATTATGAAGCAACCAAGAGTCATTAAAAAGGCCTGAAATGTGACATGCAGATAATGAGGATAAACTGTCTGAGAGGAACCACAAAGTTTCAACAACACAAAAACTGAGAGCACAGACAAATCAAAACCTTGGTGAAAAAAAGTGAGAGTTTAAAGCTCAGGGGAAGCGAGAGTTTCGGGAAGGAAAAGGCAAGAAGGGGGCCGGGGTCAGTAACTTCTGCATTCTTCCTATGAATCTCCAGTTATCATCTGTCACGCCCAGGGTCAGAGGTCAAGAGATAAGACTAATACATGTAAACTCCACACCCAGAAGTTACACATGCAATTAGTAAGAGGACGTACACATGGATGCACGTATGCCAAAGTCAACATGGGATGTTTGAGGGCTTGATGAGAGCCACACACATGAACACACTGAAACAATTACAAACTGCCACAGAAAGAGAGCAATCTGCTGAATTTACTTCTGTCTATGGCTGCAAATATCAACAGAGAGAGAGGAAAAAAAGGATGAATAAGTAAACAAATAATTTTCTTTTTCTTTAGTGGCATTGATTATTTCTACTTGAGTTATTGTTTGTTAAATTACTCTGTCAAAAACTCTGAAGATGGGGAATTAACTCTTAACAGCAAAAGCTACACCATAAAGGAGTCTTGAAGATTTCATCTCTGCCTGTTGACACTGTGGCAAAATGTTAGTCTCCATCTCAGGCAGGTGTCAGTGATGGAAGAGTAGCTGGTGGAGGAGTTGTTGGCTGGTGAGTGTATCTCTAAGTTACAGATCTCTGTAAAGGAACATAACTATCTCCAACTTTCTAAAAGTAAGTTGAGACATTTGCTGTTCAGTGAGCAGGACTGCAACAGAGCTGTAACGGTCCGATAAGCCGCTCCTGATCAGTCAGATGAATATCTGGCACGTTAGAGATTTTTCATCACTCAGAGAAAGCAAAGTCAGAGCTTTTCAACTTTTTTTATAGCACCAGTGTAAAAAGAGCAGGCAGTATGGCAACAAGCCATGTGATGTGGACAACTGAAACACACATAGATACACAGAATCGGACACAACATTGCGACCTTTTGTGCAATCTAATGCAATACAACAATTTTTCCTCTGCACTCACGTTGTGCATGGCAGTCAGTGTGAGCAAAGAAACCATAGTTTGAACAGTTGACTTGCTCAGTGTGAGTTCGCTTACACAGTGTGCATGTGAGGCCATACTGTCAAAGATTAGCACTTATATAAACAAGCTCCACTAATGTTTAAAAGACCTTTTTTTTTCTATCCCACCATACAAGGGAAACATCTTCACAGCAGGATGAATCCTTCCTGATGTGTACCGTTAAAAATGAATAGAACTTCTATGTTGCTTTTGTTATATTTATGTTATCTGTTTGGAGAAGAGGAGATACTTCTGCATAAACCTACACAGGTTACAGTATTATGACATTTCCCAGTTACAATAGCACCACACAGAGGCTGACAGCTTGGCAAAACCAGTTTTTGAATGTCAGTCTCATGGGAAACACCCACCCACATGCTTCAAGCTCAGTTTCCTCTGACATATGGAAAAATGTGAACAAATATGGAAAACTTTGAACAAAAGCAGCAGCAGCTATTCCTCTTAACCAAACAAGTAAAAGGGGGTTCAAAGTTAGATCGAACTTTAAAGAAAATCACAAACACAGAGTTGCTTTTATGGGTTTGATTTAAATATTCCTCTCTCAGTGATGCAGTCACATTGTACTGAGGCACAAAACGTTTCCATGGCAGGGAGGCGAGGTTGGAAAGGTCAGCGAACAGCCCACTGGCTGACTTCCCAACATGCCAACATATGGTTGCCAGACAGAGAAATTCTCCCCTGATCAGACATCAGCTTCATCATCAGAGGGGCTCTGAAGTGGCTGCAGATTGTCATTTTTCATTTTCATACTCATCTGCTGCAGTTAGTGAACATCTGCGACATTCAACAACTCCTCCAAATGGCTTTACCGTTCTTCTACTTTGTTTCTTTGCCCTGCTCGCTCTCTGCCACACCGTCTCAGTAAGCTGTGTGTGTTTCAGCTTATGAACACGCACTTTTGTTTGCCTTCAAAATACAGAAGTGACGCAGAAAACCCACAGAAAAAGGAATATGGAGGGAGAAAAAGAGGGAGACTTTCCCGCCCTTTGGGATTAATGGAAACCATGCGTGGCCGCAGTGGCGTGGCATGGAAAGAGCTAAGGAAAGTCAGACAGAGTGGGAGTGGAAATCTGTAGGAAGACGTAATGGGTTCATATGGTTGCTGTGTATATTTAACGACGGCAAGGACACACAAGGGAAGGGGATGTGGAGGGTTTCCTTGGAATGGGGATACCCCCTTTTTGGTGGGATTTCCCTGAAGTGGCCTCCCTCTCTGCACGTTTCATTTACTGTACAATCAGCGAGGCGGCAGCTAGTCAGCCAGGAAGTAATTATATGGGAGGAATGAGTCAGCCGCTGTACCTGAAATAGACACAGCCTGCAAAAAACAGTTAGCAGATGTGAAAGATATAACTGTAGACTTTCAGGACCGATATGAACCTTAACCTCGTCTGCACTGTTACACATTCATCTTAAAGAACAAATGGTTCTCCCTCTCACAATTCAAACTGGTAAAAACCTGAAACTCTTGTTGCTGCAGACAAAGAAAAATTACTCTCAAGAAAATTAAGTAAATTTTCGTTCCTCTGAAGAGAACACAGCCTAACACAAATCCAGTTTTCTATAAAAAGAAATGGTCAGCAAATTGCAAGTCAATGCAGATGCAAATCACATCTTAACTGACGCTAAAACCTAGGACACCACACACACAAGGACAGTTCAGACTGATGTATGAATTTACAATACACTAGATGATACCACTGGACGGCACACTAAGCATTAGTGGTAATGACGTCACAGTGGCAGTTCACACGTTACATCCCACAATGCCGCAGTTTCTGCTTATGCTTTCACTTGTTGGCCCAATTGTGGCACGTCTTGCTCGAGTCGCTGTAAAGGCACCAGTGAGGGTGCATAGTGGTCAATGCCTCAGCCCCATGTACCTGGAGTGGTCAGTCTTGGTTTGTGGCTTCTTCCCCATAAGTCACTCTCACACTTTTACCCAAATAATAAAGGTATAAAGCCTACCGTAATCACACATGCTGGTCTTCTTTTTCAGTACCAGTGAAGAAGATGGAGACCACTTTCTGGGGTCGCATTAAAACTTCCATTGCATCAGCAACATGCTGTTTCTATGAGGATGTGTAGGTCTTTTTTGCACCATCTGTTTCTCCCAGGCTTTTCTATCCTACAGGGTGACCATACAGCCTCTTTTACACGGACATGTCCTCTTTTTGGGGGGCTGTCCAGCTTTGTCTGGTGAAGTTTATAAAATCCTTCAAATGACCGGAGTGTTGTATTGAAGTTTCCAGTTTGTGTCATGTGGACTTACTAACTTAGAAGTGCGTAAAAGACACTCAATCGAACTCGAAAAACTCTCAAGATTAACTTCATGCGACTCCGTGACCCTGCCCCTGCGTAGTCGTGTCCTCTTTTTGGGGATTCAGAATAAGGTCACCATATACTACAAAGTTGATTTTGTTTGCTCTGATAATCGTTTACTTGTGATTCCTGTACATAGATTACATAATGTTCCTCATTCACTTGAAGTGTGCCCAAGTAGGAGGGTTAGTTTCTGAAAAAGAAGTGCCATGGTGTGACTTTGATTGATCATGTACACATTGTTCAGTATTGACAAAAGTGTGTAATTGGCTTCACATTTAAAGACTGAGCTGTCAAGAGGAACAGTCGATTCTCACACACATCTCAATCAATGGCTGATTCTTCTGGGAGTCGAACTTGGCATGTTTTAGCATTCCTTGAGACCAGACAGTGTTCATTCTTCCTCTCCCACTTCTTTTCATTCTTTTTATCCTTGACTGAGACTGAGGCTGCTTTGGGGAGCTTTTTTCACACTGTGCCTGTCCACTCAAATGAGCCCATTGTGTCTGAAACATGCAGCCCAGCAGCTCAGACGCAGAGGGGGAGCACAGAAGTTGGACCCTGGATACTGCTCTGTGTTCTTGCACATGCTTGTGAAATGTGGTGTGTCAACTCCACCGGGGGTTTGCCAAGAAGCGTCTACACAAGCACATCACGACTGCCCAGCATGGGAGTTGTAAAAAATGGCCTGAGCATGGCAATTTCCCAAATGAACCCCACAAATTTGTTTCCCGTTGCCATGGAAATGTGGTCAGAGCCCAGTTTGGAACTTTTTTTCCATGGCAGCGCTGTGTGTGTGTGAGAGAGAGGGAGGGATTCTGGGAGCAATTACTGAGCGGGAATTCGGGCTAGGATGGGGAAGAGGAGGAGACACAGCGGCTAAGAATGTCTGAGTGAAAGAAAGAAACTGAAGGAGTCAAAGAAAGATTTCCCGCTCTGTGTGAAAAAGAAAAGAAACGTAAAGTGTGTGATGCGAGTTTTTGCAGAAACTAGAAAAGAACGGGATTAAAAAGAAAAGTGGAGTTTAAAAACGTTTTTATAGACACTTTTCTCATTCTGTTTTCAGTGCAAATGCATATATTCAGTGAATTGCATAACAGTCAAACACCAAAGTTTGAGCCTGTGAAATGAATTGAAATGTACACACTTATTTAGCAAAATAAGCAAAAAAAAGTTGCAAAATAAAAAGAGAGTGAACTGTAGATTGAAACGGTGGGTTGGACAGTACAATACATGTCATGAAGGTCGAGTCCTTATCACAGCAGCATGGTTTTAATTCTTACCTGATTTTTTACACTGTATGTTTGAGTCTTTTCCATCTTTTCCAATGTCTGTCAGTCTTCAGTTTAAAGGTAAACTGGCCTAAAATAATCTGTATACTGCAGTATATGCAGTCAGCTCAAACAATAACCAAGAGAGTACTAATGCCAGACAGAAGACAGGAACGCTCCAGAAAAGGTCATATACAACAAAATAATGTTGTGCTTACAATATCAGCTCCAAAACAAGACAAATTTGGTACAATGTAGCAACCTACTATGAAATCCACTCGCTTCGTTAGACCAGCAGCTTTCTTGGGAAAATCTTACTTTTTTATTTATTTATTTATTTATTTATTGCAATGTCAAGAGTTTTTTCTATCTTAAAGAGAAGTTCAGCGGAGTTGCAGAGACTCTCCAGGAGGTTGGATCTGGAAGCGGAAAAAGCCTAAAGGTCAGGCATTATGGGGGACAATAAGGGCTTTGGCTGATTTTCCTGAGACCTGAGGATTTTGAAAATCGTTTTCCTTTTTCCTTGTTATCTTATCTTATCTTATCTTAGACATGTTATCTTTTTTATGTATGTTGACATGTTTCGGCAGAAACTTCTGCCATCCTCAGAAGTGTCACTTGGTGGTAGGTGTGACACGTCATATCAGATGGTGTTATACACACCTTGAGCAGCGTCCTGCAGGGGCGAACAGACAGGTGTGACCCTCCCGTCAAAAAAAATTGACAGGAGGGTAACGCCTCCGTAACACCAGCTGATATGTCACAACTACCACCAAGTGACACTTCTGAGGATGGCAGAAGTTTCTGCCGAAACATGTCGAGGTACATGAAAAGATAACAGGTCTCGGATAAAGGGAGAAAAAAAAAAGATTTTTAAGAAACTGAAGACATAATGATCATCATTCAACAGCTGAGGATATTAGAGCTGTTTGCCTGGCAGCTTGACTCCTCCTCTTTGCAGGTGTTTTGTTGCATCTGTTGCTAATTGAAAAATTGCTGCTGTAGTGCATCTCGACAGCAGAATCTATACTTTCTTTCTCTGGCCTGCACAAACATGGTTAAATGATTAATGTTATGATCAATGTAAAGATCAAGGTTTTCAGTCATGATTGTTAATTATTACTGAAATTCGAAGGAGAGTGTTTCATTACTGTTGTGCAGAACTTTTATTTAGGGCCCTCAGTGCACACACTAAATTTTGTGGAGCTAGGCTTTGTAGTCATGGTTACAAACCCCCAGTATTATGGCTTTACGCAGAGTTATTTATTGGTTGATTTTTAAAGGTAGCACTTTCAATAGATCACAAATTTCTAAAAAAGGTTTTCCTTTCCAGAAACCAATGCCTGTTGCACTAAGACCATGTTTTATGCAGTTAACTGGCTAAAAGGTTGGTGTGCATGCAACAACAGATTACAAAGAACTATGATTTCTGTCTGTCTTATACTCCCTTCAAATTTTATTCCAGTGAATTAAAGGAACTTTATCTCAAAACGTGCTCCCATGCGTCAGACTCTGACCTCACCACATTTCAAAGCTGCTCCTCCCATCCCTGAGTAATCGTATATGTTCATCCTAACTGAACTAACTCCCACCCTATAGTGTTTTCCCTGCTGACACGCCTTTCTGAGCCTTCCTGTTACATCCTTGTACCTCTTTTTTCTCAGTCAGTGACAACAAACACACGTCAAAAGAAAACATGAGGTTCCCATTCAAGACTCTTCCCCTTTTGGTTCTATAAATTAAGACGTCCTGTCTCCACCCGGCAGCTTACACAATAATCAGTCTTCATTTACAGTTTTTCCCCCCAACTCCTCAAAGTTTAATCCATGACTATAAAATCCCTCTGCTCCACCTGGTCTCTCTATTCTGAGCTCATCTAACCTACAAACACACACACTTTCTCTCCGTCTTGGAATAACCTAACAGAAACAAACTCTGTTGGGTTTCACCGCTGTTAGGTAATAGCCAAAACAACTTCCTGACCTCTTATAACTCTCTGCACCATTCAGAACCCTGCTTCACTTTTCAGCCTGGAAAGTCAGATATTATAGGAATTGAAATACAGATTTTGTTTAGTAATTCATGGAGTTTATGATACAGTTTTCTGCCATCTGTCAAGCTTTTGCTAGCTGCTCAGACTGTATGTTGAACTAAGTGAACTATCTCCGGCCTGTTTCTCTCTTTGCAAGAACTCAAATATTAACTCCTGACATGATAACCCAGTTTTTTAGAGGGATAGTCCAGTTTTCGACAGTGAGATCACATGAGGTTAACGTTATCTGGAGGATGGAGGACAAACTGTTAGTGGTAGTGTGTTGCTGCCTGAGCTCTATGATATAACAAGGTCTTGATATTCAAAGGGGAATACAAAGGAGCTGTAAGGATGCAAGTGAGTGAGCGAACGCTGAATGATAACTCGATACACAGTCACTGGCATCACAATTTGTTTGTGCAGCTGATTTTTAATGCCAATGTGCATTGGTCACCAACCTAACATTTGGTCAACCTTCAGGAGGTGGACCTTTAGCCTCCTGAGACAACCTGTCAGTCAGGCCAAATGTGAATATTTGATTATATCCTAAAAGATAAAGTCTTTGGTCTCTGATGTAAATTAACTGTTTGCAAAATCTTAACCTAAAAACTGGATGTTTGCAGAAATTGCAATGTCATCTACTTTCATCAGCATAATATGGGTAAAAATATAAAAATATTTCTTTCTTTGCACATAACCTACAAAGTTGCAAAATGTTCAGACTACATGTTTCTGCAAAAGTACATTGGTTCTGTGTTACATCTGTTCTGTGTTACTAAAGCGTCTTTGACCTTTTTTTGTTTGTTTGCAAAGTTACATCATTCAAAAACTTGATCGAGTTTTAAATTCAGTTTATATTTGAATTTAGCCAAAGTACAGTCTCTGAAGTCCTAATCTTAGCCAGAATACTTTGGCTGCTCAAACACAACCTCTCAGCGCTAAAGGCAAACTCATGAGTGCACACATTTGGATACCCAAGAGGCACATCAACCACCTCCCTGCAATTCTGTGGTTCGATTACGTGGCACTCAGTGGGCTAAAAAAAAAGGTTAAATAAACATATTTGGAACAACATGAGAGTAATATTCTGGCAGCAAAGTCTGAACATTCATTATGTGTCTACTGGTAACCCCCCTGTGGTTGTACATGGAGTTTATTACAATTTTATTGAATCACTCTGCAAGTAGAGTTGATAGTGTTTAAAAAAGCTGGTTTGACTCATGTTTGACCGTTGAACATTTTACTTTAATTCTAATCTACACTCACCGTAGTCAGACTTCTGTTTGCCTGTCATAAACTCTGAATAAACATGATAATATTTCCTTTATTTCAATCTTGATGTGATTCTTGTACCCTAAATTTGTCATGCCCATGTGTATTATGGGCCACTCTGAGCCCAAGAATCACTAATTCATGCCCCATTTGGAAGTCTATGCTGGGCATCTGGTGGACTTACAAAGGCAACTTCTCTTAAAACAAGAGTACATTTTTCTGGCGCAAGCCTTTATTTGAAGTCTTAAGTCTTAAATTAAGTTGTAATAAGTTTAGTTTAAAGTTAAAATAACTGAGTTCTTATGTACACACCAAATGTATTTTTAAAACCTTTAACACAACCTTGTTAAATTCTATGTGCCTGACATCTAATTTGCACCTTTGCTTTGTTATTTCTTCCAGTACTCCACCCTGAAGACCACATACCCCTTTTTCTGACCTCACTCCACCCGGGGCGTTGACCTCTGACCTCTCATCCCTATGTGTGTCGACTCCTCTAGTCCAGTAAACTTTGAGTCTCTTGACGATGACGACACCCTTACTCAACCTGTGGGCAGGGCAGGTTCATAAATGTTATGACCATCTGTGAAACATGTTACAGATTAAATTTACTCAGATTTTCCTTCATTAAAATCTTTGCATTTCCCTTTTAATTTGCAGACCCTCCTAAAATCCAGCCTTTGTTAAAACCCTCTTAATAGGTGTCTTGTCTTGGACACCTGCTGCTGCTTGTCCGCCCCCTGCAGACCTGGGCAATTACATCTCCGTCTTCCTGGAATCGTGCGGCGGTCATACTTCACTCATGAGCACATTGTTTTGTCTTAACAGGTAGAGGAGAAAAACACCCTGTGATATTACATCTGATCTTGTCATTTAGTCTCATGAACACGGCAGCACGCACACTATCATTTCCTGACAGTAGAGCCACATCAGGACAGTGATTCACTCATGTCAGATGTGTTGTCTCCACTGCACCTGGTAGGAATGTTCCACACACCTGTAAACCGTCTGCATGCAGAGTTTTCCATCTGCGAGCCCAAGTGAGTCATTGTGGCTTTCTTTAAGCCACTACAATCTCACAATGGCATCCTCAGCTGGTCAGACAATGAAGCATATTTTCACATTTAGTCAGGCGTGTCACATCACAACACAGTCCTACCGCAAGCATGTCAAATATGGCAGCTTGGTCAGATGCCCAGTGCTCGAAAATGCAGTAATATGTGTAACCCCTTAGTGTTACGCACCTGCAGCACAGTGTGAACTTTCACTATAAAGTGTCGATAAGTCAGTCCAGTCCAGTCAGTGTTAAATAAATCTGACTGAGGACATCAAGTAACGATGTTGTGGAGGTGAAGTGGTCGGGGTTTGATTTAGTGTCGACACACATGATTTAGGGACTTAAAGATGAGGGGTTGGGTTTGAAAAGTGACATAATAAATTGTTACCTGATAAAGTTTTACGTATAAATATTCCATACATTGGTTATCTAAAGTGGCTAATTTACACATTATTTATCTAATTAGGGTTGTTTGCCAAATACCAGTGTTGTTTTTATTGGAAATAAGTAGGCATGCAGTTGGGGCACTACTGGCCTTGAGGTCTACGTGCTTGCACCCTTTCCCCAGAGGTTATGTCCAAATGCAGTCATTACATTTTATTGCAAAGTCCCACTGTAACTGGACTTTCAGTCTGAATGAAACCACACTAAATCGTGGTCAAGAACGGATTTTCTGGCATGTACACTCTTCTATCGGGCTCAAAATAGCCTGAGTGTTCTGCACATGCACAAGAGCTAGCAAACCAGGCTCTTGACCAGAAGTTGAATAAATGCATTGGAAGCCAGGTAGTAAACAAAAACTTGACAACGAAAGACGTAAATGAACGCTTTCACATCGCATAAGTAAAAGGTTCATAGCTGTAAAGGTGTTGTGTTTTTTTATTGTACCATTTACATGCCATTGTTTTGGTACATAATGGTCAACTGGGAGACGAACCAATAATAATGAGCTGAAAGGAGGCATGCGCTGACTGCTACAATGGAGATGGACATGCTCATGTTGATATTTAAATTTTTAGCTGGTCCCTGTAAACTGGGACAAAGTTCAATCACTTTAGCTTGACTTTAATGTGTATGTAAACACACTGAGTTTGTGCATGTTCAAGCTAAGCATACAGGTGTTGCTAACTAGACTTATGTCAGAGGGCAACCACAGCACAAACCAACAGAGGATAAACTCATTAGACCTGCAGATAAATAAAATCAGGACAATGGGAAGAATTGCTTTGTTAATATGCACTTTAATGCTATAAAATACAAAAATAAATTTCAGCATGACAAAAAATTGGATTGATTTCAGCCATCAGTTAAAATTCAGCAATTAATCACTATTTAATGAATTGATGGCAGCCCTAATCTTTATTCAAGACTTCAGTGCATCGCCATCTTTTCCCGACTGACTTGGGATTTGACAAAGATGAACTTGGTGGTGGTGAGATACTTTAGTTCTGTGCGGATGTTCAATTTTAGTTAAAGAAGCTAAATGGTTGTCATATGACTGATGTTGGCTTCCAAGCTTGCATTATGAGAGATTGTGTGTACATTTTCCTGCAGCCTGTGAATAGACATATTTCCAATTGTTGGGACACTATTGAGCATATGAGATGTCGTAGGAGTGAGGACAGGCTGCACACAGATACAGGGCTGTTACAGTGAGAGAAAGTGGAGACTGAGTAGGCCTAAAGAGTGACTGGAGACCTCTGTGTCAGTAGGAGATTTCAGTAGAACTCTTGATGGGAGTTCCACTGAAATCTTCTTTGGTGGTTTTTCCTCCTACTGATAGACATGTTGTTCCAGAAACAGCTGAGGGCTGGGTCAGTGTCCGACCCTGAGGTCAGATACTGGACAATCCCTCAGCCAGGCCTGTAAATGAAACTTCTCAGTGGCCGACTTTACCATCTTTCAGGGCGTCTGTGATTTAAAGCTTTCTGTGGGTGTTCTGACCACAGAGGTCAGAACGCAGTAAAGACAGTCCAGCTACACAAGAACTCCACAGTCCACATCAAGCCTCTTTAGATCTGGCCCCTTTTCTCATAATCAAATGATGTTGAGTCAAGCTTTGAGTGACTAACTCAGTGTTTACAACAAACACAACCCTTGTAACTAAACAGAAGTATGATGACTTGTCAGGTGCTTTCACTCAAAAATCATGAAAACCAAATATGGAAACATTTAGAGCAGAAGTGAGAGTTTACTGCCTGGTCTGATTTTTATCATACTGTAGGTGTGACTGTCCTGTGACTTCCTGGATTCAGCTTTCATCAGGGTCGATGGTATTGTGGCACCAGGCCGATAAGGGAGTAAACAGAGGGCCAGTATCACCCTTACCATGCCCTGCAACGCTGACACAGATGACTGGCATGCATTTTTTTGTTTGTTTGTTTCTAGCAATATAAATGTCTAAATATTATCTGTTTATTCTTGCTAATTTTTCATGTACAGGTATTTATAGTTTTTCAAGGTCTCTTATTTCTTTCTTTCTAAAACTTTCCTTTCGCATTTAAGTCTTCAAAATATCTGGGTTTGCCAAACAGGAATGATTTTCACACAGATTTTCTGTCCCCTGGTGCCTCTAAGTTCACTTTCTTCCTGCTTGGAGGCGTGCTTCCTGTTTTAAAGGTAGTTCGCAACAAATTAAATATCCTCATGGTGAAAAAACGAGAAGTTTCTCATGGTAAAAGCAAGTAAAGACAATGGAAAGGAAATAAAAATGAACTTTTGATAATTCCAGCATTTCTTTCCAACAAACAGAGGAAAAGTTGAGTGGGATTAATGGGACTATTAATGGGATTTGAAAACATCCCAAATTTGTTAATTCACGTGGGAACAAACTGGGTTTACCCCTTAAGGAAATAAGGATTACTGCCTCACAGGGAGGGAGGAGGAGTGTCGGTGGAGGGTGATGACTATCACAGTAATGACAGAAAAACTCTTGGTTTCCAGTTAGGTCAGATCTGTTACTGCTTCTGCCAAAATTGTGACAGAGGACAAACTCTTCACGTCAGAGATTGAGTAATATTAGGGCAGAACGGACACACACCTGTTTGAACTTCTCTAATCATTTCAGATCTAATGAATCAGATCAGAGTTAAAGTTCATCAAGAGTCTGATCTGTAAACAGGTTGAAGCCAGACCTATTCCTAACAGTTATTGTGCAAAAATGACTTCCACTGAACCCCCTACCCTCCTTGTCTAAACATGTACTTTTCCCAGCATTGAGACCAGGCTGGGTTCACCTGGAATCAAACCTTTGTTGTAGGCTGACGTGCAGAGGCACTGATGTCCTGCCAAGCAGAAACCCGAGCACAGAGGAAAACCATTACTGTCTCGCTCACATCTGGATGAAAGGTGTTCAGGAGGCGAGGGAGAGATCCTCAGAAGAATCATATGACAGATTTTTTTTTCCTCTTCTGTTACAAGAGTGAATAAAAGAACAAACAACATCCAATCTCATCTTGAAGATGTTCGCTTTGCACTTTGCGTTAATGAGGGTTGAAAAACTGACCTCAAACTCGGGCTGTCACTATGTCAGACTTTAGCGGCCACTGAATATAATATCATCAATACTGAGACAGCCCTACCTCAAACCCCCTATTATCTTTACCCCTTATCCATTTGGAGACCATAGAGGACTAGAACTTATCCCAGCTTTCATTGGGTAAGAGGCTATAGGTGCACTTTGGACAAGTCGCTGCTCCATCACTGTGTTGACATATAGATACAAACAACCAGCTTCACGCATGCAGTCACATCGACAGGCGATTAAGAGGGACCAAGTAACCTCACAGTTTCTGGACTGTGCAAACTCCACATTGGGTGTGGATTTAAAAAGCAACACAACAACATTATCCTTAAACAGAACAAGCTAAGTTGAATCTTTTTCCTTTATTTTCCATTTAAATCCACTGCTGCTGCTGGCATTTAAAGATATAGACTGATGTTTTTGTTAATCTGGAAAGCTGAGACTGAATCCTGAAGACAACACCCTGATGTATGTTGCAGATATGTACAGTAAAGTCTGAAACTTGATGCCTCTGTCTTTTCTATACGTGGATCATCTCTATACCTTTATCTGTGTTTTCACAGTCGGGCGTGGCAGCCATCAGAGCAGACATAACATGTGGTCACTTCCACTGCTGCTCCATGAATAAAAACCCACTAACTGGATAACTATGAAGAGACTCTGAGTGACTGCTGCTGGTTTAGTCTGTTTTAGGGATTACTCACCTTTCAGGGGAGGATTCAGCTTGTCTGATGTTAATCTGATCATGAAAAGTACCAAAACATGACTCCACCTTTATTTTATCTGTGTCTCCCTCTATATGTCACTGTCTCACTCAGTTTCCAATCCAAACACAGATTTAAAAACTGCCCACATAACCTTTTATGCAATTGGCTCAGTGTTGGAATAATGCAGGTTATGAGGAAACTTCATGTGAAGCTACTTTATTGCTATGATTAGCAGGGATCCCTTTTGTTTGACGGTACAAGAGCTGTTTTGATTTCATCAGGAGCTCTTTAGACTTTAATATCCTGCTGCATGTTCCTTCCTGAAAAACAAACAGAGGACTTGGAGCGTGGATGAGACCAAACATGAGTGCAGACAAACAGAAAACTGTTTCGCATGAATTACATCGGAGGACGAGTTTATACAGACACAGACCACAACTTTGGATTTCATGATAATGGTTGTTGCTTAACGGTTTGCTCATAGTGAAACAGAATTTTAATCTCCCATATCTGAGCTTTCACACTTTTTTCTTTACTCTGAATGAGAAACGAAATTAAACATGAAACTGGACAGAAACCAGACGAAAGAAAAGGATTTTTTTTTCTCTTCTTCTAATCCAATAATCACCACCTTCACAGGCACAATGTGAGGAATGTACTTGTGTTAAAAAGCAGCAGGGGGGCTGCTGGAATATGTTTACAGGTTGAGAAAGTCATTGTTCCAAAGGATCTGCGAAGGAGGCTGAGGAATTGTTCCTTTGTTTGACCATATCCTTAATGGGAGGGGGACAGTCAGACACACATCCGGTTTTGTAGGATGATAACGTACTGTACTAGACACATAACATCTGGAGCTGCCCAACACCTCGCCAGCTCTTATCTGATTTGACTCCAGGTCCATTTACAATCAAAGTTTTCATAAGAAGTACTCTATTAGTTTAAATTTACATTCCCGAAAAGCTACCAGTTTGAACTAATTTCTTGCACAGATTTTTATCTCATGCAGACATAAATGGGAACAAATTGGTGCCTTTATTGGGATTAAACTCTCCAGGAGTTGAGAAACCATGAGACAAAGCAGTGCTTTATTTGTAGGCCCAATTTGATAATGACTTTCTTCGGAAGAGTCTCCTCTGAGTAGTTTCAGTTTAGGTAAAATACAGCCCTTTGCTGCCATGAACAGAAACATACTTGTTAGCTGCTATGTGTTCATACAACTATTGGAATAATAACAAAAAAATGAAAACTAAGCTGAATGCACAACTAAACAGACAAATTAGTGGAGTTCATGCCACTGATGTGTAGTAAATTCTTTCTGTTTGGATCTCAGAGACATTCAACAAAGTGCTTGGACTGGCTGGTGCCAGCTCCCATTTGCAAATGTGATTAAATCCATGCAAAGTAAGTCTCTTGTGTCTTATTTGCATTTTCAAGATTTACCACAGCATCGTCTAAGAGCACAGAAAGGGTGAAAAATGACTTAGAAACCTGTCCTTAGAGGCCTTATTTTCCACTGTTCTTTTCTAGACTTGATGCTCTTAACTGTTTATGATAAAAAGTTATTTTGGATTTGGTCAAAAGTTGTCTTTCAGTTGCATAACATGTTAACAACGTGAGCATTATTGTTTGTTTTAACAGCAGTAAACTGTACCAGCTCATTTGGACTATAAACATGTGACACAGTTTATCAAACACACATTTTCAAACATTCATTTTTTTTACAGATTCTTTTTCACCTTTTTAAAACAAAATGATGTGGAATAATGCATCACTGACATTTTCCAAAGTGTCACGGGAGAGTTACTCCCTGCAGTTCTGCCTAGTTCATTATTTGATTGATGGATCTTTATTTATATGATTCACAAGTATGATCTCAAGACACTCCACAGAAGAGCAGGTCTAGACTGTTCTCTTCTTATTATTTACAGAGACTTAACATCGATCCGCCCTGTGCAAACACTCAGAGAGTAACAGTGTTAAAGGAAAAAGCCCCTTTAACAGGCAGAAACCTCGAGCAGCACCAGACTCATGTTGAACAGCCATCTGCAGAGAAACTGATGAAAAGTTTGCACCTTTGGTCTCCTGGTGTGGGTCATTCAGGATATTTCAAATAAGTTTTTCAGTTTCTTTCTAACAAGATATGGACTTTGAGTTTGATGACGAGGGAGTTGCGCAAAGACTCATGCAACACTTGTACTCCTTTGTCATCAGAGTTTTAATAGTGCATGAAATCATACTGACAGGTATGATGAAATTCATGTGACAAGACCTGCCGCTTACAGTATCCTGATGATGCACTTCATGCTTTCATCGGGTGACTCTAGTGGGTGCAGACATCTCCAGGTGTGACATACTCTAAACTCTCCCGCCCACTCTGAGTAAAGACAGAATAATGATGGTGAAATCACTGACGATAACTGACTGAGACATGTCTCAGTCTGGTGTGTCCCTGTTTGAAGGGCAGGGATGGTGGAGCAACAGTAACTCCTCTTAATCAGTCTGATACTGGTGGGAGAATCAAAAACATTTCTAGGGTCTTGATTTTTGGAGATTGTCAAATAATTCAAATGTGAGAGTGTGAGGGTTCGAGGGTATCAAAGTCATATATGTCATTCTTTTGTTTGTATGGTAAATAAATGCACTGCTTAGTTTTGAACACCTTCCTAAAGGGACACCCTTTTATCCATCACACATCCAAAAGCTAAATGGCTTCGAACTCACAAGTTCAAACAGGTTCAACTGAAAATATGAGATTTCTCCTTGAAAAATTACAGAAATTATTCAGAAATTATTGCAAGATACTTATTGGTTTTCTTTGAACCAAGGGAACAGTCTTGGTTAAATTTGAGCTTTTATTCTCTTATTTTATAATCTATGTATTTATTTCCCTTCCTCTTTTATCTGTCCTCTATCCACCTTCTTCCTTTTCACCTTCCTGATGTGATGCCATCAACCGCCAATTTTTAACTGTCCATTTTTTAATTGCCAGTTTTCCTTTGTCTGTTTCTTTCTTTTTTTGCTTCTGCTGTTAAAGCACTTAGCAAACATCTGTTTTTAAAGGTGCCATATAAATAAAATTATCATTACTCTCTGTTGCAAATTAAGAGATTCGACTGTCATTTTCAAGAATACGAACTGAAACAGAAGTATTTTCACTGTTACCTAAGACATCTTAGGAGGAATGTTTCAATGAAAGGTGAAATATGTTGGCCTTAACTGTCCTTTCAGTGAGCCCATCGCCCATATTTGATTAAAAATGTCCAGTTTTATCTTTCAAAATCTTCAAATCTTCAACTTTATTGAATTCCTGCGAGTCCTCAAAATTTACCAACTTAGGAAGGTTGTGAAGGACAAAGGCATGCTGCATGCAGTCCTGCGGTTAAGGGCCTGTGGAAAAAGGAGGAGGTGACTCAGGCTGAGGGGGAGGGACCTGAGGGGCGGACCTGAGGGCCCACAAGGTTTAAATAGTTTTGGAGCTTTCCCTCTCCTCCTGCCTTGTGTCTGTGAGCTCCCACTCCTGCCTGCCCAGCCTGTGCCTCTGTCTCTCTCTGTGTCTCCTTCACTGAGTCTCACTCAACAGCCACAATGCAAACAAGCAGGCACTCAACGTACTCTGTGCGCTCCACCAGCAGTAGGCCCTCTGCCATCACCCGTGCCTCTGGTCCTGTCTACAAGGCCTCTTCCATCCATGGAGGGGCTGGTGCATCCAGGATCAGTGTCTCCTCCAGCACCCGCCTGGGATCCGGGATGGGAATGGGAATGGGTATGGGAATGGGCTCTGGAGCAGGAGGGCTCACCACCAGTGTCCAGGTGAGCGGATCAGGCGCTGACATCATGGGCAACGAGAAGTTCGCCATGCAGAACCTGAACGACCGTCTGGCGAGCTACCTGGAGACTGTGAGGAACCTGGAGCAGGCCAACCACAAGCTGGAGATTAAGATCAAGGAGGCCCTGGAGAAGAGTGGTCCAGACTTCAGAGACTACAGCAAGTACCAGGCCATCCTGGACGACCTGAGGAAGAAGGTGAGGAGGAGGTGGGGTGGGGGAGGATTTAATGAGTGTTAAAGAAAGACAGATGAGGAGGGAGGAAGTGGGAGTAGGATCATGTGGATTTGTGATTTGATAGATGAAACCATGAGTGAGTTATGATCTGGTTAATCCCCTGAGGAGGTTTGACGTAAGTGAGATTGAGCAAGAGCTGGACCCCTGACCTAAGTGTCACCCCCTCAGTTTTCGGGGTTACTGTTTCACTGTGGGATTGAATGGTGTCCTGCTATTACACGGCGGACTGGGACCAGGGGCTGGACCGGAAACAGTATGGAGGAGGAATGTTGGAGTGTGAGGGGACAGGAAAGCAGTTAGATAAACAAGGGACTGTACGGGCTGAAAAAAGTCGACATACAGAGACTTTTACGACCTGTTTCCTCTTTGTGAAGTGGAACAAAAACATTGTTGAATAATTGGGCAGACAAGAAAAGAGAGTTTCCTGCAGGGTTTAAAAGTGACACAATTCTCAAATTGAAAGTAAATGAAGATGTTGCACAACCAGGAAATTTGTTAATCATTCATTCCCGGTTTCTCTACCTCAGTTAACTGGACTGTGTCACTCACATGCTGCTGCCAGTCTTTCATTCAAAGCTACATTTAACCTTCCCGCAAAATGGAGCAAGTGTTTTTCTAATCTTTTTTGGTCTCATGGGTAAATCTTGCGTAACAGCATCGCTGGAAAAAGATGAAATGATGCCACATGAACCGGGCAAATTGGGCATAAAAAGGGAAGAGATGATTTTATCATTTCTTCCCCTTAATCTTTTCATTCCCAAAACTTGATATGTAACACTAATATAGTTAATTTGTTTTTCCACAAACAGCTGAGGGTCTCAGTCAATCCAAACAGCCCAGGGTCGAAACAGCCTCATTTATCTTCTGCTGTGATGCTAAAATCACTCAAATGGGGCCCTCAGCCTCAACCAGCCCCCATTTGAGAAAACAGACTCTCACCACTTCTTTAAAGCAGCTTTTACCAGTGCAGCACCTGCATGCAAACACATACACGCACGCACACTCACATGACTTTACATGCGCACAAACGCCAACGCCACAACCACCATCGCCAACTCCCTTATGCAAATCACCTGCTTCTGTCCTGCTGACAGGGTAGATCCTGTTCTGCAGCAGCGACGGGACAGTTGGTGCCTGGCAACCAATGATTGGCTAGCACACTTTGTCACCTGGATATACCCCCCCCCCCCCCCCCCCACACACACACACACACACACACACACCCTCCCCTCTCTTACTTCTCTCCCTACCCTTATCTACTGGACTGTGACAAACAAAGCAAACACTGAACCATCTGGTTTGAAAATGAGGCTGTCCTGTCTCCATTTTGACATCACTGTTCTTTAATTTACAAACTCAAAACGTTGGTTAAAAAGTTCTAAATCGAAAGAAGTACTTTGAACAAGAAGTACTGTTTGAACAAAATTTGTTGCCGGTGTATCATTGTCTTCTATTAAGGATAAGTTTGATGAATGAAATGAGCCAAATGACAAGTTTGTGATTTTTCCCCAGTGGCTTGCTGTCATCACTTTTTTAGGGAATTTTGCGACAGGTTCACTGTAGCTATTGTTTTTCACTAATTTCAGTGACACCTTTGTAATCCTCAGGTACAGGATTTTGCGTCTCTCTTAAAACTCCTGTGAGGAGCTTTATTTGGTTACAAAGCATTTAAATTAAGATATCTTTATAATCTACTTTAGCAAACAGAACAATTTTTTCAAGGATAAACTTCTTCGACAAAGTTATTCTTAATGACTAATCCATTTCCGGCGGCGAAGTATCTGCAGATGTGAAAAAAAAAAAAAAAACTTAATGAGGTGAGATTCCTCCAAAATCACAGGGGGCGCCAAAATCACCACAGTAGCTCTAACCTCGCAAGTGAAGCTAGCCATTTTTAATTATCTATATTGATAAAGTTAGTCAACTATAAATATCAAGCAAACAAAACTCAGACTGAAGTGCTTCACAGATCATTGATGATAGCTGAGCCTAAAGTCAAAAAGACTCTCTTTCAGCTCTTCGGTGTTAAATGTCTGGTAGCTCTTATCTGTTTGTTTTGGCTTCGATCGTCAGTGTGTAATCTAAACACCCTCTTTTGTTCTCTGAACCTGTTCCAGGTGTTTGATGCCACCACCGACAATGCCCGCCTGGTTCTCCAAATCGACAATGCACGCCTGGCAGCCGATGACTTCAGAGTGAAGTAAGCCCCGCCCACTTTACTTCTGCGACTGTAAACCAGCTGCTGATTACGCCCTCTTTTATAGCTGAATGGGAGGAAGGATGAATGCGTGGTGTCATGGTCTGAATAGACAGCTGTTTGTCTTGTAGTCAATCATCAGCTTTGCATCAAAGGTGTTCATTTGTGTCATGATTCAAATATAAGAGCAAACACAGCTGTCAGACACACATGGACTAACAAATGACCATGTCTGAGTGAGGAAGTGAGAAGAGAAGCCATAAAAATAATGTCTAGGTTTATTTAGTTCTTAAATATGTATGAAGCCTAGCAGTTGACCAGGCTTTGACATTTCCCTCTTCTTATTTCTTTTTTTTCTAGATATGAGTCTGAGTTGGCCATCCGCCAGTCCGTGGAGGCTGATATTGTTGGTCTGAGGAAACTCATTGACGACACCAACATGAGCCGCATGAACCTGGAGAGTGAGATCGAAACCCTGAAGGAGGAGCTCATCCACCTCAAGAAGAACCATGAAAATGTGAGTAATAGTGCAAAGACAGTTAAAAACCCAGAAAATCCCCTTAGAAACAGCAAATGTGTCAATAAACCTGATTCTGATAACAAAACTTTTAAGTCAGTGTCCGTAAACCTGGCATGGAATCTAACTGAACAATCTATGATATCAGACGTGGCATGTAACACAGCATAACAACCAAATAAAAGTTTAAAAACACAGCTTTAGTTTCAATAAGAGGGCATCAGATCTCCTTTTTATAGACTGTGTGGCCATGTTCAAACAGATTTGACTCGAAATAATAGCAGGAAAAAAGACCACAGCTGTCGCCACAATTTGATTCAAAAGTTTCCAAACTCCTATTTGTGCAGACTGACTTCAGAATTTTCCATTTCAGACCGGCCTGCTTCAAATGAGAGAAACAGAAATACAGAAATCTTTGACAAAAGCCAACACTGGTCAGGCGTTAGCCAGAAGCCCTGGTAAACCAATCTATAAAAAACAGTTTGAGGGATTTTAAGGTGATTCAGGCCGCAAAATTTTCACTGTTTTGTCTGTTTAGTTTAGTCAAGCCAACGTTTATTTAACTAGTGTTGACCAAAGTGACTTAGAAGGCTAAAAGTACATCAAGAAAAAAACAAGTAGAAGTAAAAGAATAGTCAAAGGTTACACCAATACTTTTTTATAAAACTTAAAATATTTTCTTAAAAATTATTCTTACAGGACCTCTGGGCTTCACTCCAGCAAATACTCACACATTTATCAGACGCTGATAAAGTGTGTTTACCAGCTGATCTTGACAATCGCCAAAAATGTCTCTTTACAAGCACTGTTCATTCAGGCTTTAGAGCGAGCTTGAGAACACAACAGCAGAGGAGGCAGAAATCTTAAATAACTATGTGAACTTTGTGGGAAGCCTCATCGTAAAAATGGTTCCCATCCATATTTGGCACCAACGAAAACACCAAAGAATCCAAATTACTGTCATTATATTATATAATTCAGAACACAAGCATTTGTTGACTGTGGAAATTAAATATTTTGGACCCCAGACATATATTTACGACCCCCCTGTGTATTTACCTCACCTCAGTGTGGTTATGGTTGGGGGGTTAGGAGTCACAGCATGGTCACAGACTCACAATGCTTTACATATGATCAAAGGGTGTCAAGTGGGCGTAAACTGCACATCAGTGAAAAGACAAAATGAAACTTTGATGTCTGAGTTAATTCTTGAATTCTCATAATTTTTTAGGAAGTGATGGAGCTGCGTAACCAGATCGCCCAGTCAGGAGTCCACGTGGATGTCGATGCACCTAAAGGACAGGACCTGGCTCAGATCATGGCAGAAATAAGAGCCAAGTATGAGAAGATGGCACAGAAGAACCAGGAGGAACTCAAAGCATGGCACGAATCCCAGGTCAGCATTAACACTCAAGTATCGTCTGCATACAAGGAAAGTTTTTGTCAAGTCCAAAACAAACAAGGTTTTTCAAACGTACTCTAATTTCTTAAAATCTTCTTCTAGATCACAGAAGTGCAGACCCAGGTCACCCAGAACACAGAAGCCCTGAAAGGAGCCCAGACAGAAGTCAACGACCTGCGCAGACAAATCCAGACCCTGGAGATCGAGCTGGAGTCACAGAGGAGCCTGGTGAGAGGAACTCAGTCAGCACACACTTCATTTACCTCAACACACGCTTATCTCAACCCCCTCTAATGCCTCATTCAGCACTCTCACTTCAGGTCTCTCACTTCTACTTTGTTGACACAAGCTTTCCACTCCGGTGACCCCTCGCTATGAGCCGTCGCCTGTAAAATTTTAACCTCTTCCTTTCCTCCCTCTCTTTTTAGAAAGCGTCTCTGGAGGGCACACTGAGGGACACAGAAATACGCTACAACATGGAGATCGAGTCTCTCAACAGCGTCCTTCTGGGTCTGGAGGCAGAGCTCACACAGCTGCGTAACAACATCCAGCTGCAGTCACAAGAGTACGAGGCCCTGCTCAACACAAAGATGAAGCTGGAGGCCGAGATCGCCACATACAGACGGCTGCTGGACGGGGAGGACTTCACGTATGTACAAAGATTTAAATCATCATTCCCAAAAGCTTATAAAATATTAGAGAAAACATAGTTTAACTTTTTGATTTTATTTTTAATCAGCATAAGCAAAATGTCACAAAAATGGTTGTCGTGTAAAATTTGTTGTCTGTTGATTTTTCCGTTTAGGCTCCAGGATGCCCTGGACCAGAAATCAGTGAAGACCAAAGTGATGACCGTCACACAGACCCTGGTGGATGGAAAGGTGGTTTCCTCCAGCACAGAAACCAAGAACCTCTGAAAACCAGAAGAAACCACCTGAAACTCCGACAGTAACAACCACAGCATCATAACACTAACTCCAATTGGCCTACGTAGATCTATTTTCTACTCTCTTCTCATTCATAAAGCACTAACAGTAAGAGCCTCAGCCAATAGTTGAACTCCTGGATACACAGCTTCCGCACAGGCTGATAAGAAAACTGGATCAGAGGAAAACTAAGTCATCTTTTATTTATTTCATCATGATTTATTTATGTTTGTTTGTTCAACGTCAGGTGTTTACGAAGGTTCAAAATTGGAAGTGTGAGTTTTTTTCAGAGCAAACTAATTAAAGGCATTCAAAATTTCACTATGAACTAAAATAAAAGAGCCCTAGCAAAAGTAAAACACATTTTTTTATATTTCATCATCTTTGGTTTTCTTTCTGTCCAGTGAAGTCTGCCTGATGGGCTGTGATGTTCAGACATTTCAATAAAGTCCATTCAAGAAACAATCCTGATGTAAACCGTGTTTTGACTGTCTGGTGTGTCTGTGTTTCCATGTATCACTTGTCGATTTTATCCAGGGAGAATGAATTGAGTCATCCAAGCCAGATTTTTAGATAAGAAAACACAAACTGGACCTGTCTAGTGCTTCTTGTTTTTAGAAAACATATAGAGCTTGGCAGACATGACTACTGAAGCTCAGACACATTTGTTTTAAAGATGGATTTTAGTACATCCAAGAGATCTTGGTCAGTAGATGGGTCTGTTGACCCTCTTCAGGGTGGGGGTCACCCTAAGTAGTGATTTATGGATGATAATCATTTCTACATTCATGTCATGCCTGTAGATTGTCCAAAATATTGGTAATTTGTTATGAAGCTGCATTGTGGGGAAGCCAGAGGTCGGATGGATCAGTACAAGGGGTCGGTGGTTAAATTAAAATACGAGGCTGGTGAGCAGATGAATAAATTAGAGGGTTCTATTAATGGAAGGATTGTTAGAAGGGTTTGATGAAGGGATGACTTGGAGAAATTAGAGGATGGATGTGAGGATGAAAGTCAAAAACATAAAGAGCACTAGTAAGTGAAAAGAAGAGGTGAGTTTGATAGAAAGATGAATGGATGAGCCGATGAATAAATAATGACAGGTGGTAGTGTTGCATTGATTTTGGGTTGAATGTTTGAATTAAAAGACGGATAAATGAATGAATGGATATATGAATAGATGGATGTATAGATGATAGACTAGGTGGATTTATAAGTGGATGAAGGGACAAATGGGTATAGTTGGCTTAATGGATTGCTGGATGGATGGGACAAGTGTAATTTATTATTGAGCAAACACAGTTAATCAGAAACAAAAAAACAATACATGTCTGATTCTTACATTGTTTTAAAAATCTTGAATCTAAAATAAAAATGTATTTTAAAGTAATTCTATATTAAAGGGAGGAAATGGTTAAAATGGTGAGTATCTGTGTTGAAAGTGATATCAACATGATCACAAGTAAGTGACTTTGAATATGATGAAGAAGCAAAAAAACCTTTAATGACCTTTTTAGTCAAAGTCAATACCATAAAATTAATATTTGATTATTTTGATGATTTTTGGTGACTTTTGGAACAAACGGGACCAGATAATTCTGTGTGTTACCATAATACATGATAGTCTTGGCTTGCTTAGCATTTGTAGGACCAAAATGCTGCTGCTGTGATTGGACAGAGATGCTATTAGCTTTGAGAGTGGTCAAAGACAATGATAGAATGAGAAAAATCTGAATTTACTTATTAATAATGAACAAAAGAAAAACCACTGAATTCCTTTTATTTTAAATTATAATTTCATGGGCACCCTGTGAGTAAACGATAATGATTGATATGACCACTCCTTTGGTGTAGTAGGTGTGCCAATTACACGGAAGTCCATAGTCTTCATAGTATATCATATAACCCATTAAGGTCACCTACCAGTCGTGCTGATAAAAGATCAAATGATTCGTGCAGTGAGTCATAAAAACTTTGTCACAGAAATTTAAACCTTGCTGCAGTATTTCAGCAACTGATACCCTGTTTCTTTTACTCTTCACTTAAAGCTATTGTGTTTCAGTTTTTTTCATGAGTACCTGAAGCAGTAAAGTCTTTCCCATGGACACCTTTGCAGTGAAAAGATCAGACTGATATATTTTATAACTCTCCTCTGTTGTAAAAATAACGGAACCATTTCCCTTCACACTTTATGATTTCCTAAAGCACGCAAAGTCTTGGTCCCATAGGTGTAACCTGTGAGCACCCTGCTGCAAATGTATGGCTCATCTATGTGTTTTATATTGAACATTTATATGAAACAAACTGCAAAAATGCTTAAATGTCTATTTGTACCCAAAGTTTGCAGTTTTCATAGATGATTTCGTTGTTGACAAAAAATTGTGTATGAAAAACTTCAAAATTTCTGTTTGCAGAAATCAGACATTTGAATGAGATCAGAGCACCGATTAGGATTTAGGGTCCCCAAGTTCACGGTAGATACATCTGGCATTGAACACAGACAGTAACTTTTAGAAATGCATAAAATATATTTCAGTTTGTATGGATCTTCATGAACCTTTTTAGACAATAGAGATGGTACAGAACATTGTCGCCTGATCCTGAGATTTTTTTTCAATCTGTGTTGCCATGGGTACCACTGATTTACTACACACAATCAAAGTGTTACGATCAGCATACCTTGCCAGCTCTCCATTCATGGTGGGTGTTATAGGGACAAAGTCTGAAAGTCTAAAGGTAAAAATGTAATTTAGATAGTAGAGGAGTGGCAGGAAGTCTTTCAGGGTGATATATAAGAACCCGAGACTCTACTCTGTCCTCCACTCTCAGCTGCCAAACTGCTGTGCAAGAACACCCCGCCTCTTCCTCTGGTTGACCTGCACTCCTCTTCTCGAAATGGATTCCTTGATCCAACGCCAAAGCTCTCAGATCACTGGTGGTCAGGTTGTCAGACGAGCCCTCAGTGTCAGTGGAGGGGCAGGTGGCTATGGCACCAGGATCTCAGTCTCTGGCTATGGCAGTGGCTTGGGTAGCGGGTATGACTACCAATCCCTCTCCTCAAGTTCCTCTTCTGGAGCCTTGGTCATGGGTAATGAGAAGGCAACCATGCAGCACCTGAACGACCGCTTGGCCAGCTACCTGGAGAGGGTGAGGAGTCTGGAGAAGGCCAACGGGGCACTGGAGATCAAGATCAGAGAGACCATCGAGAAAAGGGGGCCCTTGGAGGGAAAGGACTACAGCAAGTACTTTGCCATCATAGAAGACCTGAGAGCCAAGGTGAGTCAGTGTTAAAACTTTTAAAATCAAACACAAAGACAGAGCATGATGCTTTAGTTGCAAAACAGTGCATGAAGAAGATTACAGAGATACAAATATGGTTTTCTGCAGACCTTACTGCAGGAGTTCTTTAAAATGTGCCACTTTTTGGATATGTGTTTTAATTTTATGGATGTCTTCATGTCAAGCTCTTCCTTCACAAAGTCCACTTTCCTGGGGTTGTAAATGTCTTATCATGTTGGGTACAAGGTCACTACAAGCTGAACTACTTCTCCTTTTTAAAACCATAGTTCACCTCCCACACACCAAAGTAATCATGTACATCTACGATGGACTGCTCCCAAGATTTATCACCTGTAGACTTTTATCTTTATGTCCATGTCAAGCAGTAAGAGATAGTGTCAAAGAGATAACCTGCTTTGTTCTTTTATGACCCACAGTGTGTTATCAAAGGTGTGGGTGTGGTCTTTCCCCTGCAAAATGTATCAAAGAAAATCTTGGTCCATCTAATTTTCAAGTGAAGAGCAGAATAATACTGAATTATTTTTCCTTTCCGTCAGATTTTTGACATGATCAAGGGCAATGGACATCTCTTGATCTCCCTGGACAACGCCCGCCTGGCTGCAGATGACTTCAAGTTGAAGTGAGTGTCCAGCCTTGTATACAAAATGACACAGGCTCACAGTATTTTTGTAAACACATCTGATAAACTCTGTGTTTCCTCAGGATGGAGTATGAGATGTCCATGCGTCAGTCTGTGGAGGCTGATGTTAACAGACTGAGGAAGGAACTGGATGACACCAATGTTGTTCGCTTGCACCTGGAGGGTGACATCGAGTCTCTGAAGGAAGAGCTGATAAACCTGAAGAAGAACCATGAAGCGGTAAGGGACTTTTGTGGGGTGGCGATCAAACAAATACCTGTATGTTTCTGTAAATGCCATCTTGGCGTTTTGTTTTTCCCGCAACCTCTTTGCTCAGGATAACCTCACCAACCTTTTAAGAGGAAATCACTCCCTAACTGTTTCCCCCTCCGCAGGATGTTGCTGATTTGCGTGCCCAGATCAGCCAGTATGGTGTGCATGTGGATGTTGACGCTCGTAAAGGACCTGACTTGGCCAAGATCATGGAGGAGATGAGAGAGAAGTATGAGAGGATAGCACTGAAGAACCAAGAGGAGCTCAAAGCATGGCACGAGGCTCAGGTAGGTCACTCATGCATCAGGTACGTTTAGAGTGTATTGGCTTTGTTTTATGATTAATCTCTAATGCATTTTTTCTTGTTTCCAGATCACAGAGGTGCAGGTGCAGGTGACAGAAAGCACCACAGCCCTGAAGGAAGCTTCAACTGTTATGAGTGAAACCAGGAGGAGATACCAGGCCCTGGAAATTGAACTGCAGTCTCAGCTCAGTCTGGTAATGACATGTGCTGGTTTACATGATAAGTGGGACTTGAACTCAGACAGCAGCACCAAATGTTAGCATTTCAGATCACGTATGTTTATTTTGAACAGTGTCTGGCTGTTCCCCTGCAGATTAGACATTCAAACCAGACAATTCCCAAGAACTGTGCTCTCCAGGAAGTCTCTGCTGTGAGAATTCTTGCAGACAGATAGACAGATAATTTTAATTTCTTACCATAAGTTGCAGCAAGAAAAAGTTAGGTGAATTTAGTAGTGCTAGTCCATGCAGACCACAAAGTCAGCCCACAGAACATCAGCTGATCTCAATGAAGCTCAAATCATCTCACTTTCTTCATACTCAAAATGACCAGTCCATGCAAACTGCATTAACGCACCTCATTGCTAGCTACCCCTATGGTGCTGTGTCGAATTTTCCCATTTGTATTGTCACTAATGCTCTGTTCTGTACCATGAGGGTCTTTGCTGCTGCTCTCCCTGCCTCAGGCTTTGGCATTCAACATAAACATATAGAAAAGCCAGAGGGCTCTCAGAATAGACCCAAAGCATCAACTCTAACTCACTGCATGCAAAAGAAATTTCATTACATTATTTCTCTTCTGTATCCAAGACAAGCTTGTTTCTCTCTCTCTCCACAGAAAGCATCTCTGGAGGCCACCCTGCGAGACATCGAGGCACGTTTCAACATGGAAATGGAGAAGTACAACGCGATCATGCTGAGACTGCAGGAGGAGCTCACAAGGATCCGTGCAGACATCCAGCAGAACACAAGAGATTACGAACTCCTGCTTAACATCAAGGTGAAGCTGGAGGCTGAGATCATGGAGTACAGGAGGCTGCTGGACGGTGGAGCCGACCTGGCGTAAGTATGAGGAGAGGGGGCAGGAGGTCTGGGTCAAACTGTAGGAAACTGAAGGTTGCTGTTAATACCTATGCTGAAACTAAATGCTAAATCGTGAGAGGACCAGTATGAAGGCTTTGCTTGTCTCAGTGAACCATTTGCATATCTGATTCAAAAGATCTTCATGCAAAAATGAGTCAACTTTGATATGTAAAGTACAGTTAGACATCTGTATCAACACACAGCACCCTGCATCTTCTTCAGCAGCTGAATTTAGCACCAGAACACCTAAATAAGCAGTATTTAAACCATAACTTCATGTAGTCTTTACTTAAAGTAGGACCTTGTACTGACCTTGCTCTTGCTTCTCCCTTTTTTTTTTAGCCTGGAAGATGCTTTGGACTCAAGGAAAATCCAGACCAAACAGGTGACAATCACCCAGCACCTGGTGGATGGCAAAGTGGTGTCTGAGAGCAAAGATACTAAACAGATTGATTTGTAAAACAAATTCAATTGAAAAATCTTTGGTAACAATATGAAATAAACAAGAAAGAGTGCATCACCCTGCCTATGTAACTTCTTTACTTTCTGGTCAGGTAATACAGACCAAAACAGCATAAATACATGGAGGACAGAGCCACTGTTTGCCGGTTAACAGAAGGTTTATTTATCTTTTATGTCATTGGTTCATTTGTCACGTTTACATGGGCAACATTTCTTGATCTGATTAAAAAAATTGAGGGATCAGATTATCTGAATCCACTGTTTACATGGGTGCAAAATCAAATAATCCAATCATGACGTGCGTACACATGCACCAAGTTTTATTCAGATTAGAAGCATTTGGACAAAGTTGTCCTATTTCACTAAAACAACCGCAGAAAAAAAGTTGTATTTAAGCCTGTGCTGTCAACAAACCAACAAACGCAGTAGTGGCCCACCCCATCCAATTCAGGAGGTTCCCCCGTTATAAATGTTGTCACTAGATGGCGCCCTTGCGTACTTATGTTGCTGTTCTGTCAAAGGTTGCACTGTGCATGCAGATGTGACATCATTACGCTGTATGTACGTCTTGTTATGTTGTCGGAGGAGCAGACGCGGCACCTATGGTTGTGTTTTATGCTAGGGTGTTAATAATGAAACCTCCTGTACTGACCTCAATAAGTAAGCCAAAGGCCCTAGAGTGAAGACCGAGTCAGGTAAGAGAGTCATGTTCAGAATAAGTTTTTACATGGATGTGTTTCGGAATAACGATTGGCATAAACTTCCCCTCTCGATCGGAATACAATTTCTTTCCGATTGAGCTAGAGCAGAATCCTCCAATCGACATGTTTACATGATGCATTTTTATTCAGATCAGGCATTTATTCAGATTATTTGTACCCATGTAAACATGGCTACTGATAACTAAGTGTGATTGCTTTATTGTCTTAACAGTGTAGACCAATCACATTAACAGGAGGAACAGTCCGCAGGCTACAGAGAGCAAATGTAGGCTGGATACACAATATAATAACATCTCAGCAGATATAATCTGACAGTAATTAAATTTTTGAAGCAGATTTATGCAATTCATGGGAAGCTAGCAATCTATTTAACATGAAAACTGCAAGCAGATGACAAAGATATGGGTATTTTGGGGGGTTCAGCCTTAGGATGTAATGGACGGAGAAATTACAGCTTACATTTTGTAGATAGACACCGAAATTTTTCATTTAACTTGTAGTAAAAAAGGAATAACCTTCTTTTAGATATGTTTTCAACTGTCCTGTACATGGGTAATTTATTCAGGAGATGCAAACTTTAATCATCTAAATTCAATAAAACAGAGAAAAGTAAAAGCAGGAGAGATCTCAAAGCTCCATATATGAGGCATTATATAACATGCACATATGTAATTCATCCCCCCCTGTTCTGTACATGGACGTGGATGCCTGTCTGGCTTCTTGCCATAAATCCCCCCACACACACCCAAGTCTGCTGTGAATGCGGGAAATTCTTTCAGCTCCTGAGAAGTTCACATTCTGACCTCCAGTTCTTCATCCCCGTCCCATAATAAGCAGAGAGGACCTGTTCCCATGCCACGTCTGAGCAGTCCAAAGTCTCTGCTTTCTGTTTGTCTATCCACATCCACATTCTTTGATACTTACCGAACCATTTGGCCTCAGCTGGATCATTTTAAAGGTTGTTGAGATGGGTTTTATAGAAATCTTAGGGGTGCAGGCTTTGGTGATTAACTTGGACATGTGGAGGTGACTGCAGAGCCTTTTAAAATCACTCATTCATCATCATAATGTCATGTTTTATGAAATATATGCTGACGTGATACAACAGCGTGGTTTCCCTTCAGTATCTGTCTGTGCCATCTGTTAGTGCCGTGTTGTGCGCCTGCAGCCTTGTGGTGCAAAGTTTGTGCAACAGTGTGTCTGCTGTGACGGTAAAGCTGTAAAACTGTACACCATGACCTTCTGCACATTTTAAAATGACTCTTTTATCACCTGCAGCCAGAGTTTTTGATTTTGGCCTTGTTGACAGAAGCTGGACAGGCTGTGCAGAGAGAGAAGAGAGGGAGGGACGGCAGGACTGGTGGACTTCATAGATAGATCGGAGACAGATACCAGAGGAAAAGGATACAAGTGCATGTGTCTGCTGCATACCTGTAATTCCTCAGGTCCCACAGAGAGCTGGCTGTATAATAGCTTTTCTCTGTGGAAAGCAGAGCAGACCCCCACCGAGCGATCACTTAATCATTAATCACACAAAGGACTGAAGCACAGCACATGTTTTTTTAAACTTATAACCAAGTCTTGTTTGAATTTCAGCTACTTTCTTCTGTGCAAAGCAATAAAGTGTAATGTGTAGATTTTGTACTGACATACAGTATGTTTTTAGTTCTAGGTTGTATACAGTTGGTGTTGTCTTTATTATATAACCCCAATTCACAGCAAATGTTATCCCATGACCTTTAACAAAAAAGTTGGTCTAGACCATACCCAATTTACAAAGACCCAGGGTAAAGATAGGATAAGATTGAGCTTTGGCCTGTAAGATCAGACCCACTCCCATCCCATCTTCAACCAAATGAGTGAAACACTTGGAAGCATTTATCTGGTTACAGTGGAGAGGAAGAACCTTCTTTAACAGGCAGAGACCTCGCACAGAACCAGACTCATGTTAGACAGTCATCTGCTGAGGCTGAGCTGGGTTTAGAGAAGGAGAGAGGGAGATACAGAAAGAGATAGAACTTAACTATAGGCCACTGATAAATGGTCAACTTGTTCTATTGTTTAACCCTGACTCTCCTTTTCCTGAAATAGATTTTTTTTAAAGTATCACAGATGCCATAACTTTTTCTTCTTTGAGTGTTCCTCTAACCATTTTATTGCAACTCTGCCGTTAAACCAAGATGAGTTCCTTTGATAGTTAAAATCTGAGGCAGAGTGCTATTTTTAAATTCAGTTTGCAAAACTTTTAAATCCTTCTTGAGCCCGTTATGCACCGTGTTTGCTCGCATTTTTTGTCTGCGCATAAAAAACTGTTAACAAAACAAGATGGTAGGATGCAATTCGAGGCCCAGGCTTAACTTCTGGGTTTATTTACAAAAACATATGAACTCTACTTATTTAGTTATTCCAGTGACTGACTCCAAAGGTCTAATCATACCAGACAAGCATAAAATGATGAAGTAAAGAGGCTCCGGTTGATTAGGGTTTGCTACTGTTAACTCACCACTTACTATTTATCCTGATGGAAGCTTAGGAATCAGATAAGATAAGAAGAACTTCATTTATCTCAGAGGGGAAATTCAATATTTAGAGCATTCCCCTCAATATCATGAAAAAATGCCTCCCTGTAACCTGTATCCAAACGTTTTATGCTCCTCAGGTTCAACTGATGCTCCTCTAAGCCACATAATCTACCAGATGGCCTTGTATGTTCTCCGGCATTCAAGCATGATGATGAACGGGATTAGATGGGCAGCCAGACAGAGTAAATCTGGGGTTATCAATGAACAGCTCCCTTCACCTGTGTTTTATTACGTTAGGCCCACTGCACTTTTTAAGAAGGTTTAAGTGTAAGCTCTGGTATCCTGGAATATCTCCCATCTGCATACTTGCTTCTTCTGCGTCCATACACAGTAAAAAGAGAGAAAGCAGAAACAAGTGTTTGTAGAGAGGATTTAGAGGACAGGCAGAACCAAAGCGAGGAGTCTGTTCAGGTTAGAGCTCATGCATGTTGGGTAAGCCTGCATGCTTTACTTCCCCCTACCCCTCATTTTTATGTTTTGGCCTCCATCTGGCTTTTAGATCCACCGACTTGATTTACTGCTTTTTTGATCACCACACCTTAAACAGGGTCTTGTTTATACCTTCACATCTCTCAACGTGACCAGAAAACAAACCAAACGTATCCCAATTCTCTAAGGAGTTATGACACTTATCTTGTAATCTGTGAGGATGTTGATGTTATTTCTTAATTTTCCACCCACAAGTTTGTCCCTGAGCGTCTGCAGCCAAGTCTCAGATTAGTGCTGCAATCCTCCAAAAATGTGAAAACACTGTACATGATGCACAGGCTCATACCAAAAGTTGCAGGGACATTGCATCACCCAGAAAACAAAGAGCAATGAACTCCTTTTTTTTTTTTTTTTTTTTTATTTGACAGACATTGATTTTTTTGTGTACAGTGATAGTATAAACAGGCCTGTAAAGGGTTATCAGCCGCTATCATGAGTTCAGACAAACACTTGATTCTCTGTCCAGGGCCTGTATGAGTCAGATCAGAGGTCTGCAGAGTGAACAGCCACTGTTTCATCTCTTTCTCCCTTTTTTCCTAGTAAAAATGTTAACAGGCTCCACATAGATAAACCATGAATCATCTGTCCTTCTCTTTCACACACACCAACTCACCCTTATAATGTTTCCCTCTGCCCCACACATCTGTTGGGTGTGTCTGCTTTGAGTCAGTCAGTCATCCAGTGCTCCCCGCTAGCTGGGCCTCCTCCCAGTGGGAGAAAAAGAGGGGGAGAAGTGAGGGACCAGTGGTGGAGGGAGTAGGGTGTGTCTGTGTGTGCCTGTGTGTTGTAAGTGTTTATGAAGAGTGTATGAGGACAGCAGGGGCGGGAAAGTAATGACACAGTAAAGAGAAAGTTACCGCAGAGAGGGGCAGTAAAAAGAGGCAGTAAAAGGAGAGTAAAAATTAAAGCTGCTGAGGAGGCCCTGACTTTTTCTGCATGTCTAGTGTCGCAGCAGCTCAGATTTTTATGTGCAAGACTTAACTATCACTTTGTGTGACCTTAAAATCAAGCAAACGCCATGGTTTGACTCCATGCCCCATTGTGCTAAAACCACCAGTGTTGAAAAATGTAGAAAATGTTCTTTGAGTGTCCACTTGAGGCTGTCTGCAAAAGCCAAGAAAATTTATGTGTTCACAGCCCGGGTGAGCACATTTCTAATACCTAAACCTCATCTTTTTGTAAAATTTGCATAGCAGGCTAAATTTTTCAATAATTCGTGCATTCTGATGATGTGAAGACGAAAAGTGACACAAAATTAAGGCTGT